ATCGCATGCTTGGCTTGGCCGTTCACGCCTATCGGTTACAGAAGGAGTTCTCAAGAGAAGAAGCAAGCTTCCTAACTACTAAGAGAAACCGGAAGCTGTCCTGGGTCGGTGTCGATGATACTAAGCCATACGCCTATCTTCGGGAGGCCATGGTGTCCAATCTGATGACTGGTATCTGTAATCCCGAAACAGTAGGCGATTCACTCGAATCTACGTAAGTGCACACGATGAAACGAAGATTCGCGACTAACGACAGCAGGGATTTCCATCTCGATGAAGATCGCCAAATGATTGTTGAAGCTGCGGTAGGCACATGGGCCTTCTCAGCGCACGACTTCACCGACGATGAGCTTCTTTATGGTGCCTTTGTCATGCTGAAGCATGCACTTCAAATGCCTGAACTAGAGAAGTGGGCGATAACTGAAGGTAAGTGAAGCACGTTCCAGTACCCTCTTTTCCGCTAACGGATCTCTAGATGAGATGATCGTCTTTCTCTTGGCCAGTCGTACCGCCTACAACGAATTCGTCAAGTACCACAATTTCCGTCACGTTGTCGATGTCCTCCAAGCTCTTTTCCACTTCCTCGTCCGAATCGGCACTCTACCTCCTTACCCATCGGCTTCCTCCAGCATTTCCGCTCCGAAATCACCAATTGCTGAGCTTCTTAAGCCTTTTGATGCGCTTACGCTATTGATATCAGCCATCGGACATGATGTCGGTCATCCAGGAGTCAACAACGCTTTCCTCGTCGCACTGAACGCACCACTCGCTCAACTCTACAACGACCGTTCCGTCCTAGAATCCTTCCACTGCGCTGCCTATTCTCAGATATTACGCCGCTACTGGCCAAGAGCGTTCGCTGATGCTGCGATGCGCAAGCTCATGATCAACAACATACTTGCGACCGATATGGGTCTCCATTTCAAATACATGAGCGACTTGGGTAATCTACAGCAGAAGGTTGCGCATGACAAAGGAGTAGTTGACGGATGGAGCGCTAAAGTACAGGAAGAACAGAAAGATTTGACCTGTGGCCTTCTGATCAAGTGCGCAGATATCTGTAATGTGGTAAGTTTTGCGCCAACACTCTATTGGCGCACGTAATCTAACTTTCCCAAATTAGGCGCGGAAGTTCGAGACCGCAGCCAGATGGGCCAATATCCTTACGGACGAATTCAGCAACCAAGGACTTATGGAAGAGGAGCTGGACATGCCGTCTTGTTTGTTCGGCGGCCCACCCGTACGAGAGGACATTATCAAGCTTGGTGAATCCCAGATCGGCTTCATGAATATCTTCGCTAGGCCGCTGTTCGAGGCTGTCACAGACATACTACCTGCGATGCGCTTCGCTGTCGACGAGATCCTGACAAACAAGGGTGTTTGGGAGAGAAAGATTAATGAAGAACGTCAGAAGAAGAGGAAAAACAAGAGTATGAATCTTGGGCTACTCACACCTGGCTTTGCCGTCGACCCAACTCCGAGTCCACTGTCTGGTGGGGGTAGTGGACACACTGTAAAGATACCGCTGAGTGCGATCAAGACCATCTCTCCAGAAGAAGCCGCCCGCCGAGGGTCGACCGGCTCTATACGCTCTATTCCAGTTGCGTCTGACTCACGAAGATCCTCTTCAATTATCGATAAGAGCTCACGGCGATCTTCGACGACCGCTGTCCCTGGCCAAAGAGCTATGAGCTCTGCTGAAAACGCCACATCGTCAAGACGAGGTAGCAGAGACCCCAGTCTCACTGCAATTCTGGTAACACAAACACCAAACGCATCGGACCCAAAAGGACAATCTCCAGGTTCCGAGGATCGGTCAAAGACTGATCGTAAGGACACTTTGACACGGTCGTCATCACCAAAGAAGGACGGTGTTAGACCGGTCACAGCTCCTTCCCAGGCCAGACGCAGTCAAGGTGAGTAAACGTCACTTTAGACCCGTCATGGCATTTGAGCTAACTGTGGAAAAGTTCTTGATCCTTACCCTGCGCAACAACCGACGTCGCAAAGTCACTCCCAGGTCGATTTGTCGCAAACCGCTAACGGGAACTACGATGGCTCAAAGTTGCAACAATGGGACTCACACAACAAGTTGAGCGCTGATAGTAACGCAACACGCTCCGATGTGTCGCGTGACTCGAGCTGGTGGCGACATGTGAGCACAAAGCGACGCACTCGCGATGTTAGGAACGGCGATGCAGATGGACGAGCTCCGCTGAAAGAAGTAACACCCGATTCTCTGGCGCCTCCGAACCCTGATTCGACTACCACATCACCCACTTGCTCTAGTCCCGGCAGGAAGACGACAACGGGCAAGATCATGAGCTTTTTCAAACGAAAGCCCAGCCACAAGGAGCCGGAGAAGCAACTTTCCAGCTTCGGTAGCTCCTCTCAGTTGCGAACACCACAGACGAGCGATCCCGGGCGATCACTCCACAGCGACGATTGATTTCACTAATACCTTTCTACGCCTCTATTGACCTTACATTAATGACCAACGCCGCATCCGATACCACGGTATTTCCTTTAGTCTCAACATACCACTTCAAAAGCAGTCCTTGGTCTCTGCGACACTTGCTTTTGGGTCTCCTTCATCTCTGGTACTTTTAGGATTGATACCTCTTATACATGGTATGCCAGCGGAAAGCAAGGGTACAACACTCGCACTGAGGTTCACTTGTTCTACCTTCGGGTATCTTTAGGCAAGCCTTCATCCGTGTTCTACTTCAGCGCGCTAGCATTCCTGAAATATCAGGCTTGTCTCTGCATCTTCACTCTTCCTTTGTCGGTTATCTTCATCTCGGCGGGGCGCTTGGTTGCGCGCATCCAGCGTGTTTCATGTATACCGAGGGCAACTGCTGTTTGTCATGCATTTTGGCCTCTATAGTTAGGGAGGTTTAGTTCTACTGTTTCTTGCGCGACCAAGAGGACGCATTTGTTTACGCGACTTTGCAGTTGTTACGACAAGAGGACGTTCAGACACTGGGCCGGGCATGGACCGGTGCAAGCATGACGCTGTCGCACAAGGAGGACATTGACTGAAGAGCTGGCATGAGAAGAGAGTGTATAGCTGGCTCTTGTCCGACCTTTTTTGACGTGGATGCAGCGGCTACTACTCCAAGCTTGGCATTTGCCGCTCAGCGAACTGATGATAAACCCCGTAATGAAATGTATATTCTCAATCTCTGCTCACTCGCAGCAAGCGACTTTTCAGATGCAGCATCAGTCATACAAACCTTGTTTACAAACATGACCGTCGGCAAACGCCGATGCCCTTATCAAGGTCACGAGCGGCCTCCGCAAAGTGGGTTTTTGTAGCACATAACTACCTAATTTGGGCCAGTGCAGTCGTTGTAGTGCGGCGCTAAACCCCACTTGCTTACCTGACAACACCTACTCTTCGACGTACAGCTTTGTGATCTCTATACACCTTTCTCAAACACACAGCAAAACAAAGATGGACGACAAAGTCAAATACCTCCTCTCACTCAGCGCGGTGCGAGAGCGTGCTAAGATTGTGGGAGAGGCCGCTGAAGCAGGCAAACTGAGTCACTTTGATGTGCACGAGGAGCGCCTGGGCGAGGCTGCGGATTATGTGACATCTGTCATCAAGGTTCGTTGTTAAGCTTCTCGAGCTGTTTGAAGATGAAGACACTGATTATGAATCTACTAGCGTGACTTTGGTCCAGATAAATTCCACACTATCCCACCTCATGGTCGCTGGCAACACTTTGAAGTTGGCGGTGTTCCCCGCATCGCTAACTTGCTTGATGAGTGGAAGAAATCTGGATGCGACGATTTGGAAATCACTCGTCGTTTGATTGATCTCTTCTTCGTTTCGGTGCTGCTGGATGCTGGTGCGGGAGATCACTGGCGGTATGTGGAGCCAGGAACGAAGATAGAGTACGAGAGGAGTGAGGGTATTGCGGTGGCGAGTTTATACATGTTCAAGAGTTGGGGATTCGCTGCGAAGAAGGATGGGGGACCGATTGTTGATGGTGAGTGTGAGATTTGCGATTAAAATAGAACTGTGCTAACTGTGCTGCGTGTAGGAAAGGGACTACAAGATTTGAAGACAGAAACACTGGCAGAAGGCTTCCAAATCTCCGAAAGCAACCCCATGCTAGGTGTTGATTCTCGAGCGAATTTGCTACGCAGTCTGGGGAAATCATTGCTTTCCCACCCTACCATCTTCGGCGAAGAAGGCCGTCCAGGAAACGTTGTTGGTATGTTTATCATTTACACAATCACTATATCAGGTACTTACCACATAATACAGACTACATGAAAACCACAACTTCCGACCCCTCAACGCTAGATATTCTAACGTTCTGGGACGTCCTCCAAAACCTACTCATACCCATCTGGCCCCAAGACCGTACCGTGGTAAACGGCCAAGCTCTGGGTGACGCCTGGCCTTTGTCTACGCTCAAAACGCAATCCAAAGAAGGAACCTCTGATGAGAGCACATTCATCCAACCCTTCCACAAGCTAACCCAGTGGCTTGCTTACTCCCTCACCGTCCCCTTCACCCGCATCCTCTCCCTAACATGGAAAAACATGTCTTCCATGACCGCACTGCCTGAATACCGCAACGGCGGCCTATTCGTCGATCTCGGCGTTCTGACTCTGAAGCCTGAGTCTTTAGATCGTGGTCTAAAGGCTACTTCTGACGGAAGCGGTCTTCCTTCTTTCACCGCGGGAGACGATGCTATTGTCGAGTGGCGAGCAATGACGTTGGTGCTGGTAGACAAATTGTACAAGCTGGTCTTGCAGAGGATGGAAGGGGTGGATTTGAGCATGGCGCAGTTGCTTGAGGCAGGAACGTGGAAAGCAGGGAGAGAGGTCGCAAAAGAGAAGAGGCCTCAGACGAAGAGCAGTCCGATTGTTATCTTGAGTGATGGGACAGTTTTCTGAGGGACTTGTAGGATTGAAGGTTGGCTCATTGAGAAACACGACCGACTAGCAAAAAAACCTACATTCCTCATAAAATCTTGCGTTCACCCCCTCATCCTCCTTCCTACATCACTTCTCTCCGTTCCATTTCCATCCGTTCTATATCTCTCTTGTGGCGCATCATCCAATACACCCAAACCATACGGTCTCATTCTACCCCCTGGCTCGCGTTCCTCTCTCCGTTCTTCAGGTCCTTGCTGATTAGAGGCCGTAGATTTGGTACCCCGAGACGCCCAATCCTGAGGCGCCATCCACACTTGCGGTGGAGTATCTGAGCCTGTGACATGTCTATCTCTAGATCCCTGGTCACCCTTCCACATACCACCTAATACAGGCGATTCCGGCTCTACTTCTCCACTATCCAACTCGCTCCTTAGTCCATCGCCCGAAAGTTCAGACGGGCCCCTCGAATGTCCGTACATGGATTTATGGGCACGAAATTGTGCTGGCGTAGGATTTGAAGGGGTGGAGTTGGGGAGTTCTTGGGGTGGAGTGTGCCATTCGTGTGCGTGACTATGGTATGCGTGGTTATCGGAGGCGTAATTCGGGTCGTTATGGGCGTAGGCTATGTAACGCGGATCTTGAGGATCGTAGGGGGATTGCGAGTGCTGATTGAGAGGGGATGGATGGCCGTAGAAGGTGTTGTCGAAGCCTGGGTTGGGAGATGTGTAGGTTGGCGGGGCTGTATCTGTTATGTTAGTATAACATTTCAAGCCGTCAGTGAAAAAGATCAATTTGACTTACGGTCAGTTGGTTTCGTTCGTATGTGTATATGGTGTCGTTGCGATTGTTGGTCTTCCGTCATCCCACCGATAGGTAGGATGTCTTGTCTTTGCTCCATTCCCTCTCCACTCCCATCGTTCTTTCCTTTCTTCCTTCTGAAACAAAGACACCATACCACGAATCCAACGACCACAGCAAGTGCAAAAGCGCCACCCGCTGCGCCACCTGCAATAGCAGCGACCGGTGTTTTCTCTCCGGCTTGAGCGGAGGCAGTGGCCGATGTGGACGTCGTGGTTGTTCCAGGTGTAGTAGTAGATGAAGATGCATTTGCCACATTGACAGATGCATCGCTGGTAGATGAAGATGGCGATGATGTAGCCGTAGCGCTGGATATCGTGGTGGATCCGCCAGTGGCATGATAGGCGCTGAGCTGGTCCTGGCGATTGAGGATGGCGGGCTCAAGATCACCGTCCGGACAGCCAGACTGCGCGCATGCGTTCGTTTTACAACATCCCCAGAACGTTTCTACAGTCTGTTAGCCAGTTCTCTATAATTCTCAGGTGTAAGCTGAATGGAGGGTCTTCGGTACACATCCAAGGACGACCAGTGTTGATTGGTGACTTACCACCAGCAGTGCATGTGAAGAACTTGCTCCCGGTTCCGCAAGTAGCGTCAGGAAATGTCCCATACGCGGCTGGATCAAAAGCGCCCGGATATAGGTTACCTTGTGCACAAGTGATCTCACATGGATCTCTCGCACAGCAACCTACAAAGAATCTGGAGCTGTGTTAGCGATTGGAAATACTAATGAAGACGGATCCTCACGTTCCATAGCCGCACGACCACCACGTACCTCCAGCTGGACAAGAAGGAGAGAACGCCTGTCTGCTAGTGAGGTTGGTCGACATCATTCGAGGTGACGAGGCTGCGGTGCGCCCGTGGAGGGCAGATGAAGCAAGTGCGGCCAACGTGGAACAGCAGCAGCGACTGGAATCGAAGAAGAACGCTTCAAATTACGTGACTCTCAATAGACAACAAAATCCGAAGGGAAGTGAAACTGAAACTCGAACTCAGCCCTGGGTCTCTAGTGGGCGATGAGCGCATATACCTGCGAACAAAGGGCAACCCTGCGGCTCAACCTTCCCTATGCGCGTGCATCACGACTACCGAATTTGCGACGCATCTTCTCTCTAGTCTCCGGGCTGAGGAATTCCAAGAACGCCTGCGTATATGGCCACATGATGGGGGCCCAGCCTTCTTGGGTGTTACCTGCAAGTAAGAAATCTGACGTATGTTGTGCATATCCTCTCAGCACCACGAAGACGCCGGTGCTCTATTTTTCCTTAGATAGTAGCATCATCTAGAAGGTTTACATGCTCTGGCATTCGAGTGTATCGACCGAGATGCAATGAATATTCCAAATGTGCTTGCTGTGTCCTAACATAGAAAAACGAACATATTCGTATCATACCGCTAACCACCGCGCCACGGCGTAAAGCTGACAGATAGGAGCTGTAAGAGAAAACATTTGGAAGACCAGAAACATGCAGATCCCGGGAGTAACAATTGTCACAAAGGGTGTGAGGTGGTGTGAGGGATTGCCAGAATAAGCCAATGGCTGCCGCGTGGCGGCGCAGTAAGATGCATCGTGGAAAGGCTGACGTTTGGGTGGGCCTTGAGTCGATGGTGGCGGGTTTTGGTGGCACTGCCCGCAGGATTACGGACAAGTTCGTGTTTTCTGATCTGTGACGCTAACGCAACAATATTGCCCAATAGTGTATGTTTTAGTCTGTTAAGTTTGAATAATGTCGTGAACTACTGTCAATACATCAGAAAAATGGAGGGTATTCAGAAGTAGGAAAAGGAACAGCCTGGCCGGATTTTCTGATAGGGTCTCGATTCTATGTGAACATTCGATATTCATCTGTTGTATTATACATTTTTGCGCTCGCTGATAGACTGGGTATGATATGCAAGTACAGAATGAGGTCCAATGAAACAACCCAAATACAAGAACCTAAGCGGAAGAAAGAAAGAAGGGTTTTGCATGAAACGATATGATCTTTGCGCAATTAGTTCCTTTGTGACGGACCCTCCTCAGTCATCACTCCCAACCCTCGTCCTTGACTCGCTCGCTTAGCCATATCATTCTGGAATTCTGCTTGTACAGGTCGAGGGGACACTTGCGGTGACTCCAACTCGGAGGGGGGAGCAGGTCCTGTAGCCTCGGCGGGAAGTTCAGAAAATCGTCGATTATCTGCACCAGCAGGAAGTTCGGAGTACCGTTGTGTGCTAGATTCAGGGAACTCTGCTGGCAGCTCTTGGGGTTCGCTTGCGTGGCTGGCGTATTGGTGGTATGATTGATGGCCCTTGGTAGGGGTATTGTCGTGGTAGGAACCCCCGATAGGCGCAGAGTACGTAGGTGGTGCTATCATGATTGTTAGCTTACTGTTAGGTGAGTTGACGAGATAACGTACGTGACTGGCCGTTGAACTGTGATGAGTGCCTGTTGTGGTCGTGCTTCTCGTTGTTCATCATTGGGACCATGGCCGCTGCCCCCATATCGCCTTCGGCAGGCTTCTGGTTGCGTCTCTTGCGAAGGACGAAGAAGATAATCAGTCCAATGATAGCAAGACCGACGACACCTCCGACTACTCCACCAACGATAGCACCAGTGTTGCTCTTTCCGTCACCTGATGAGGAGCTTGCGCTTGGGGTTGCGCTCGCGCCATCAGGGGCGTATTCGGCGAACTGCTCTGGTAGGTCCATCAAGGCAGAAGTTAAGTTTCCACCCTCACACGAGGGCCCTGGTGTCGCTTTGCATGCATCGTGTTTGCAGCATCCCCAGAAAGTGTCTCCAAAGCCGCATGTATAAAAGGTGCTGCTTGTTGGGCAACTGGCGTCTGCAAATTCTCCGTGATGTGAAGCGTTGTATGCACCAGGTTGGACGTCTCCTAGTTTGCAACCAGTGGAACACGGATCGTTCATGCAACAACCAACAAAATTACTTCCACCTTTAGCATCACAAGCATACCTGGAGTTGGTTTAGTATCCGCGTTGCTCTTGAGTTTTAGGATTTGCCTTACCACTTGCCTCCCTTCGGGCAATGAAAGTCGTAGAATGATGAATTAGACATGATGGTGATACTTCCAATAGCAAGGAAAAAGCCTTAGATGGGTAAAGTTTACAGTGAAGTATAACGTCGCAAACCAAACGGCGCAAAAACAAAGATGGGACCAAAGCGAGAGTAAGTACAGCAAATCCTAGTAGAAAGACGGTAGATGTGATAAAGAACGGGGCATATGTCAGCTAGATCAGAGATGAACAGCACACGGACAAACATGTATCTCCATGTCTCCAAGCACGCGCGATGAACGCCTGAATGGGGCGTTACCTGAACGGTAGCACTGCAGGAAGACATTGTGCATAGCATCCGCCAATAGAGGACCACGCGTGATCCAATGTGGTATAGTTGACACTCCGCAGTATGGTGGCTGGCCTTGTGTGATGTATTTTGGTGTACTGTCAGAAGCTTATCCGTACAATTCGCGTTAGTAGCTGAAAGGAAGTAAGCGAAGGATTGACGAGCCTAGAGCCCGACCCGTACCCCGTGGCGGGATTTGATCTGAGCGTGAAAGTCTCAGCACAGCCCTCTTCCATCGCGGTAGCAACGGCGTGTACAGCGGAAAGTCGACGCGATGCCACGATGGTCTTGTCAGGCATACTACCAACACATCACGAAACACAAGCCCATTGTGCTCCCTCTCTTGACTGCACTTTTTCGATGACCCACAACAAACCTCAGGCCTCCATAGGGCGGTGTGGAGCAGTGTCAATCACAACTTCGTTCCTTTGGTGGCGTCGTTAATCGAAATGACATCCAAGATGCGCTTAGCGATGGGGCCATTTCTCAACAGCGCGCGCGGCCCCACAAGATGTCAGCATGTGCCAACATTACTCCGACACCGAGAGGATTGTAAACTCAGGCTGTATGTCTAAGAAATCGTGCTTATAAACACCCGGTCGCCACATTGTGCGACAAAATCCGTGTTCGCCGACCTGAGGAAGAGATGCGTCTGTACGGGTGTGTCAGCCATAAGCAGTTGGCTTGGCGTCTGCGTTCCGCTCTCGATTTCGCTTGTTGCGCGGCTGAAGCCAAGAAGAGGTTGTATTTGTGCTACAGATGCCACCAGATGTTTAGCACTATCACGCGGCTGGATCGTTCAGAGCTCAGACCGATATGTGGACATCCGAACAGACAAACAGCGCACCGTACTTGACTGGAACAGGCTTAGAGAGCCAAGCTCTGGAGCTCAAATTCATGAGTACAGCCTGGTTGCCTTATTGCAGCGCCTGAGGGCGAGGCGGCGGTGCTTAAATGGTACAGCCTTCGTTGGGAAAAGTGGAGCGTTTTGTTGTGGCTATATACTAACGGCTCGAAAAACGCTGCTGAAGCAGATGCGGTGAGCGGTGTTAAACCAACGCTGTCGCTTCGGCATGGACGTCTGAACTGAGAGCTGCACGTTCTGCAAAACTACCATGCGCGTCGCAAGCAACGCGTTCGTGGGTCCATAAGCCAAGGTGTTCGCGTGACTAGGACGCAGCGATAAGGGCGGGAATGAATACAAGAGCGTCCAACATCACGTCGAACCACGGTAGACGGTAAGAAACATGGTTGGAAAGAGCAGGCATGGTGACTTTAATAGTTATGGTCGGTTCTCTCCGTGAGGAGAGGGCGTTGGGACATGGACGTGTGGTGTGCACGAGCCTCTCAGGCTGGGGCTAGTACATCATCATCGCGGGGAAGCTATCGTAGCTATCTCCAGTGACAGCACAGCAGGCATACCGCAACAATATCCAGCGAATGGCAAGCGGTAGACACGAGAAACTTGTTCATTCCCGGTTCCATTGATGAGATGATACATGCGTCGCGCCAATGTGATCCCAGCGGTATTGGGACCAGCCTCCCCGGCGTAATTGGGTGGCTGGCACACAGTTTCAAGCACTTCAAGCACCCGCCATCTCGAGTAGAAAACTTCTCCACGCCCAGCTACAGAAAATCCTCACAATGCTATCATTCTTGAACGACTCCACTTGATTGGTGTACCGAAGAAGATATGAATGTGGAGCCTGGATTCCAACTCAAGCAAACCAACGGTAGGTAAGCTGCACCGGCTATTCAAGACGCGCATCAGGCTGACCGAGGTCCCAGTCTCTCAACCTCAACTATCCCATCAAACCTCGCAGCAGAGCGTTGCTGCTTCATTAGCTGCTTCGGAAGGCTACTACAGCGCGTCAGAACAGGCGTCTAGTTCGAGCGAAGAAAGACAGCCTGCCTACCGGACGCCGCCCTCTGCCCACCGAACACCAGCGCAAAGTCATGAGCAGTTGGTGCCACACACTGACGTCCCAATAACGTCCCTACGAGGCATCGGTATCCCCAGGCAGCAGCCTCAACGCCCTCAGTCACCCGCCGTCTCTACCATTGCCGAGGAATTGAGACCAGACACGCGAGACGCGAGACGCTCCCAGTTACTGTCCAACATGGACGCCGAATCGCAGGTAACCACACCAGGCCAGGACACCACGCCATACATCCGCTTTGCTATCGACCAGCTCACTCGGGACGAGGAGGTCAGAGGATCGAGAATATACCCAGAAGTTCGGCCAGAGGACGACGAAGATGATTATCCCGTCGATAGGATCGTTCACGACAATGGCTTGGGATACATGGCCCAGGAACAGAGGACACAGCAAAGGATGTCGCAAAAGATACCACGGAAACCTTTAAGGAATTCATCAACACCGCTTACGGAAGCCCCAGAACCTATGGCTATCACGCAACCTTACAACCCGCACTACCAATCCCAGCAGTACAGGCAACAGCAGTCGCCCTCGCCTCCTCGGTCACAAGATGACGTTTTCGTAGCTCATACTCAACATGCGCCACTCCACTTCCTCCCAGCCATTCTTCGCCCATTTTGGCTTGGTATCTTCATCTTCCTGTGCATCCTTATGATCGCCGCACTGATCTTCTCCGCGGTTTACTCCAACCGCAACGACGTTGGCGGCTTATGGAACTACAACGCTTTTGGCGACAACCGCTATTTCGTGTTCGAATACCTCCCAACCCTCCTGGGAATGCTCTTGCTGCTTTGGCTCATCCAAGTCCAGACGGCCCTCCAACGCCTCATACCCTTCATCTCAATGGCTTCTGATTCTTTCCACAAGCGATCTGAAGCTGTCTTCCTCCGACTGTACCCCATGCAGTTCTTGTTGCCCAACTTTGAGCATTTCCACTCTGGACACTCAGGCGTTGGAGTTTTCTTCCTCGTATCATGGTTGTTTACTTGGACGATACCCCTTCTTGCTTCTGCTTTCAACGTACGTTATGACCTAGAACGTAGTGTTTGGCGATGGGTAGCCGTCCAAGGCATCGTCTGGACCATCGTTGTTCTTTATATTCTTCTTGTCATCGCCCTGGTCTATCTGCTGGTTTTCCTTATCCGCAACCCGACTGGTCTGAAATGGGATCCTCGATCGCTTGCCGATATCATCTCGCTTCTCGAGCGCTCGAACAACCTCACCGACTACAACGGTTCCGAGACATTTGAGAAAGGCGATTGGCACCTTGTCAGCAACCGCGCAGATCGCCTTGGATACTGGACGACCACCAAAAGGCCCAGCGACGTCTTCTATGGCATCGGCGAGGAGGGTGCTGGAATTCGGAGGTTCTCAGTCGAGCGAGGGCGTATCATGGAGAAAGGAGCAGAGCGCACCAGTTCTGAGCTAGCCCAGGGCAACGATTTCACTATCCGCACCGACATCCGCAACCCGAGCGTGCGATTGCGATACCTTCCATGGTATCTGAAGGACACTTCAGTTATTGCATGGATCGTCATCGCCGGCGTATTACTGGTCGCTTTCCTGGTCGTCAGTTTTGTCAATGACGCTGTTCGACTTGGATTCCTGCCCCAAGTCTTCGCCCGTACAGACTCAGGTGGCTTCTCGGCTTCAAACTTCCTCTATTCCTTCATCCCAGCACTGATTGCAAATTTCCTCTTCCTGGCTTTCTTGTCCTTGGACTACTCCCTCCGTGTACTCCAGCCCTATATTGCGCTGTCCGCGAAGGGCGGAGCCACCGCCGAAGCCTCCCTGCTAGTCGACTATGCCTGCCGTTTACCTCTCTCGGTTACTCTAGCAGCGCTCGAGAACAGACACTGGCAAACAGCAGTTCTTTCTTTTGTGTCGTTGACATCGGCCACCCTTCCTGTTCTTGCTGGAGGCTGCTTCTGGACGCAATACTACGGCGGCGAAGATGTCGTTCGTGTCGCAGCAGAGCTTGCAGGATACTACGCCCTCTGCTTTTTCCTCGCCTTGTACGGTATCAGCCTCATCGCTCTCTTGCCAGGTCGCCGCCGAGCCGCCCTTCCTCACCGCAGCAACACTCTCTCTGAGATAATCAGCTGGGTATACCAATCCCCCATCCTCGTCGACCGCGCCTTCTCTCGTCCACAGACAAAGCCCGAGCTTGTAGCAAAGCTAATGGGAACCACCTACGCCGAGCGCACATGGGCGCAATCGGCCCTCTCCCTGGTCCGCCCGTCGCGCAACAACCTGCGTAACGACGAGGCTGCCGAACCTGCCCTAGGCGACAAGAAGAAGGGAAAAGGACGCAAGAGCGAGAAACACAACTCTTACACCGATCCCCATCAGATTCGCTATGGCTTCGGCATCCACGTAGGTCGCGACGGCCTCGAGCACCTCGGTATCGATCGCGTCCACCGTGGTGGAGAAAGGAGTGGTCGCGAGCTCGTCATCTGGGAAGAGCAGCAAAAGAGCAAGAGGAAGAGCTGGACAAGCCAGGCTTAGGCTTCTCACACGAACGTAACCCAACCTACCTTTACGACCACAAACACACTCGCATATTCAATATCGAGTTTTTCACAGCACCATCACACTTTTAGCATCGGCGTTTTTTAGGGAATATTATGGAACTAACGGGACTCACGGCATTTTGGGACGACTGGCGCAATCATCTTGGAATAGAACGAATCTTACGCAACGTAAAAGGAATTGTATAGTACGACACGGTAATGGTAGGGGGAAATCTTGGATATAGAGTGGGAGTCGTAGACAGACTACGCTTCCCATGTGATAATGACGTGCAAACGGAAAGGCAAGCAAATAGGCCTAGTAATTATGAGAGCTGAATAGCAGCGATATGGACGATGATGAATATGGAGAATGACAACACCAATGCACACCATTATGATGCGATTGGAAGTTAGTTCTTTTGCCTCACTTGTACATTTGATGCATCTGAAGTGTGAAATGTGAAGTGTTTGATATTTGTATCTCGAACGACTACGCGGCAATAGCCGCCTCAGTAAGTCTACTGATCTCCAATTCGCCATCCCCACCCAAATTGTCCAGTCCATGGAACCCTTCCTCGACAACCCATCTTTGTTCGTATTTCATAAGCACTTTACATGCGTTACCCACGACCAAGAGTCCAGGAGGTCTGCTGCCCTCCTCTTCTACAGCAGCGCAAACGTGTTCCAGAGTCGTTCTAATGACTCTTTGATCTGGACATGAAGCTCGTTCCAGTACGGCGACGGGCAATTCTGCAGGGTACCCTTTGCCGACCAGACTTTCGACTAGTGCGGATAGACGGTGAAGCGACATGAGGAGGACGAGTGTGCGGGAAGCTACGAATTCTGGTGGGTCGAGGGGCGCGCCTTTTCTACCTGTGCCAGTGCAAATGAGCACTTGGTCTGCGATACCACGGTGTGTGGCAGGTATCGCAGCGAAGAGGGGTGCGCTTAGGGCACTTGTGATACCAGGTAGGACACTGGGTATGAAACCATGCGCGCGGAAGAAGTCGTACTCTTCGCCGCCACGACCGTAGATGTATGGGTCGCCCTGCTTTATCCGGACTACAACTTTGCCGGCCTTGAGTCCTTCCAGACCTAGCTCCAAGAGCTCTTCCTGGGCTTTATCTGCATTTCCGGGGAACTTTCGTGCGATGTGAACGGTTGCGCGGCGGGGAACGAGGTCGAGAATGGGTGCGGGGACGAGTTTGTCGGCAAGAATCAAATCGGCAGAGAGAATGGCTTTGTGGGCTGCGCGGGTAAGGAGGTCGGGATTACCAGGACCAGAGCCTGCGAGGATAATACGGCCTGCACGTCTTCCGGGAGTGGTGGCAGTGGGCCCGACTTTCGAGGGGCTACTGCTGGCGAATTCGCGGAATAACATATCGACGTCTGCATCCGTAATACCCGCAAGACGGCGTAGGGGCCAGTATTCGCATATCTGTGATAGCCAGCGCATGCGACGTCCCCGTGCTGCTTCTTTGCTTTCTTCCAGGATCAATTTGTTAAATGTCGCTGGCTGGCCACTGTCCTCTTCCTCTGCTTCTAGGTCTTGCGATAGTTCCGCTGCATGGTCTTCCTCCCATATGCGTCTCCGCAGTGTCCCCAGTCTCTCAACCGCATCACCCAGGCGCGGTGGGAGCGACGCCGCAATCTCCCTCCTTATTCTTGCAGAAAGTTTGCATCCCTTTCCAGATGTTGTGATACCAATCTGTAGAGGACCATCCGAATGTGTTGAGAGGAGGGTGAAGGAGCAGAGATTTGGTGCATCGGCGACATTGACTGGTATGCGTAGTCTCCGGCAAAGACTTGAGATGTGGGTCGCTGTGGCGAGTTAGAAAGAAGCCTGGAATGTAGAGGTATGTCGCCTACCTGATGTATGCTTACCGCCCGCGGTAACAAATACGGCATCCACTACGCCGTCTACCTCTGGCCTTCCAAGTGTGGTCAAGTCTTCCTCGACGAAACTCCGCTTTAGCCATTTTACTTCGCCCGCTTCAATGCGCTTGACGAGACCATAGTGAAGTGTGGAATCCTCGGGCGCAAGCAGTATTGGTTTCGCACCGACCTCTATTGATCGTGCGCATCGCGCGCCTGCAAGTGGGTTGGACCCTACTACAAGGTGGATGTGGGATGTGGCGTCAACCGCGGTAAGAAGTGCTGGAGCCATGTTGAAGTGTGATGTAGAATAAATCGCAGCAACTTGGAATATCAGAAAGGAGGGGCAATAATATGAGTAGAAACAATCGCCGATGCGGTAACTCCTCGGCGCCGTTGATAATGCGAGTGCACATTATTTGTTCCGATAGCGACGAGCCGATATGGCGCGATACGCACTAAGGGCATCCCCGCGGAAAAAGGCGACATGTGAGTGGTGGTCCCGCCCAATGGTCGATGGTGCAATTGACTGCTGTCAAACTTGCGCGGAGTTAGTCTATTTGCTCGTCGCGGCCCATTACAATGTTGAGCGCTTTTCGGCTCAACATTACACTGTGTCCAAGAGCGTTAAGTTTTGCTGAGGCGGAGATCAGAGCGGGGTCTTGGCTCTCTACCCGGATCTTTTCTTTGACGCGAACGTCGTGGTCCTTGTATTTGAATGTACGATCGGCTTCATCGTGTGCAGGTGCTCTTGCACCGCCGAGCGCGGATGCAAAGGTGTTGCGAATGCTGAAGCCGGTGAGCGATGTGCTGTCCCCAGCGTTATGTGGTTCGAGAGTGCGGATTTCGAGCACAAGGGCGGCATCGAAGACGAACAGATGGAAAGACACGTTCGCTGGCAGTGGGGGGTCGAAGGTCTATGAGTCGTCAGTAACGCCCGCGCATGTTCTACATGGGAAGCCTACCTTGTCATCTACAGGATTCTCCCACCACGGCGGCTGCACGTCTGAGTAGCCTTTCAATGCGGCTTGCGCCTCCAGAATATGGTCGTGTAGCAGCTGCAGTTGGCCAGAGACAAAATTGGCGTTGGTAGCATCGCCTCCCCAGGTAGCCACGTCGATGACGTCGAGGCAGCTGTTGATGGACGTTCGAATTGCAGTAAGCTGGGGCACGACGAGTGTAGGCGCGTGCGGTGCAGAAGATATGGCGAGGTCGTAGGTCAGAGAGCCTTTGGGTGGTGGGAGGCTTGCCAGACGGAGCTTGACATTCTGCGCCGTGTGAGTTGGTGCATCAGAACAGACAAGTAAGGACATACGCCTTTGGTGATGCGCGTGCCAATGCGCGTAATGAGGCCCTTGAGATTCTCGGAGCGCACCGAAGTCAGCACAAGTGTTGAGCCGTTTTCTGAAGGTGCAAGCAGAGCAGCGCACTCTTCCAGGCCTGCCTTGAGCGACTGCAGCGTCTCACGGAGCTGCACAAGCAGCCATTCAAGCTCTCGCGCTTGCGACGCCGCCTGCTCATCAGCGAGACGGGCATCATCGATGGGCGGCCATACAGCGGTGGACATGGTGATGTGCTTCCAAGGCACGACGGTGCAGGTTGTTGTTGGCTGCTGCCCGGGCTCGATGGCCAAGCTCCACAACTCACCCAGCAGATCTTCGCTACTATCCGAGGAAGGAAGCCATCCCTGCATCCCTCACCCATCTCACCATGTGATGCCGCACACCTCAGACACTTGCCGACTCATTAACCTGCACCGTCACGATCCGTCGCATCCGCCAACATGCTTCCAGGCAAGTCGCGGACTCTTTGGTGTGTCGACGAGCCTCGGGATGATGCAAAGCGCGCGCGATAGTGTCGTAACCCTGTGCGATGATGAAGCTAGTCGACGACGCCAATAAAGAGCCCGATTCACTTGTGTCGAGGGCTACGTCACCGCTGGCCAGCGCTCATAAACAAGCTCGCCAGGCCTCTTTTCACCGCGCGTTGGACACGCAGCTAGTTACGTCGAATCATCCCACTGTAATAGCACCATTATCGTGCATCCTAATCTTAATAAACACTCACCCTTGCGGCAACCTTTCCATTGGGCGACTTTTTCAACAATGGCAGTGGCTAGTACGTCGTCCGTCGCTTCCTGTTCTGGCTGCGCGCTTGCTGACACGCTACTCAGGACCTATCCTCGCCTTCAGTTCGCTGATACTGGTCGCTGGTGGCCTGCTCTTCCAGTTCCTAAACATCCTCACTGGTGGTGTCAACAAGAGCCCTCTTAACAAATTCTACTTCCTCGAGGCTTCCACCGAAGGCATCCCCAACGCGCGCAACCCGTCGCGATGGACCTTCTTTGCCATCTGCGGCTCTGACCCATCATCCGGCAACAATGCCAACTGCGGCTCACCCGTCCCAGCGCTGCCATTTGACCCGCCCAGGAACTTTGGCACCCAGCAAAACATCCCCGAGCAATTCATCGGTACACACCAGTACTACTATCTGTCTCGTTTCATGTTCGCTTTCTACTTGATCGCCCTCTTCTTCGCTGCCATCGCTCTCATCTCCGGTCTACTTGCTCTCTGCAGCCGCCTTGGAGGATACCTCTCCTCCTTGATGACATTTGTCGCTCTGTTCTTCCAGACGCTCGCTGCAGCTCTCATGACGTAAGCATATCCATGGCGAAACTTCTTACCATTTATACTAACTTCACCAGCGCATGGGTAGTCAAGGGTCGCGACGCTTTCCGTTCCGCTGGTTTCGAAGCACGCATCGGAAGATACCTCATGGGTTTCACCTGGGCTGCCGTTGCCTGTTACTTCCTAGCTACCGTCATGTTCTGCCTTGGTGGCCGTCTCGGAGGCGATCGCTCTTCCAGCATGCGCCGAACACGCTCTACCAAGTCAAACCGCAGCCGAGGTAGCTTCTTGGACACTGAATCTCAACGCAAGACCAGGGATTACTCTCCTTAAACTGGAACCGGATGTATAGGAGGACCATGAGACTGAAGAATGAACATGTGGAGGAACATTGATTTTTTACGCAACGATATCCACGATTTGATTTTGTAATGCACGAACATAATACCATGTTATAGCGCACAAGCGAGTTAATGCTATCAATGTACATATGCCATATAGCCAATGTAACTTGACATACAAAGAGCGTTCCAATGACTATCTCTTAAATTGCTCAGGGTACATAGAAAAATATCTCATGCGCCTACAAATGCACAGACATGGTAACGTCTCTAAATAAGATATGATTAAACATGCAATGTTCCTACTGTACCGCAATCCTTTCTACCGTGCTATCCACTTGTCACGCAGCACTAATCTAAGATCAGATGCCTCATGACATACTCATCCTTGTGATTAGAGGCAATCTTCTTTTCGTGGCTTTTCGAGTAGCTTAGCATCAAATTATGTATTGTGGGAAGGATTCTTGCATGAGATCAACTCACCATCTTAGGTCTAGTTGAGTACCTACTCAATCAGGAGGCACCAAGATAGAGTGTATTGAGAGTTGCGTCACTATATTCAAATTTGACATGCTGTGGATACTTGAGGCTGGGGTGAAAGTTGATCGAGCGATATCTACATGAGCAGTAAACAGCGTGTTCGATGCATATAGCATGATCATTGTGATGTACAACCACAATGTGGCGAATAACACGCTGTGGAGACGATGTTTAGACAACGAAATCTTCGAACAACAGGGTAAATGAGCATCAGCATGTTCTGCAGTCACGATGTTTGGCTGCCACAATGCTAGCATGATAAGCTTTGTGTCAAAACAATGTTGTGTCTCGCATAATGACCACGAATAACATGATTCTTTGTCGTCTTAGTGTTGTCCGCTCTAACACGTGCAAATACCTATGTTGCACGTATTAAGTCTACCCAGTTCTCTGTTTGCTTCGCATACTCACAACTCTTTCACACTCCACGGTCCTCCACATACAAGCTACAGTCTTACTGTCATTAAAATGTACTTCTCTTCTGTCTTCGGCTTCGCGGTCCTGGCATCCGTCATGTCTGCTGTCGCAGTCCCTGCAGCTCTTCAAGTGCGCGGCCATTGTGGTGACTTGTATGATAATCACCTCGGACCTGGCACTGCAGGTGCTATCAATGGTGGCAAACAGTGCCAAAATTTTAGAAAAGCTGGAGAGAGTCCAAATGATCAATCAACCTACACTATGAGAATGAATGGCATTTGCCTTCACTGCGATTTTTACTTGTAAGTATATAAAAGGAGGCCTAGCGAAAAAACTGTCTGACAATCTTGTAGCAAAGAAAACTGTATTGACGCATCATACGGCATGGGGAGCACTAGAGGACTCTCTGGAAACGAGCAAAAAGATTATAGGATTGCTAAGAGCTTTCGGTGCTAGTCAGTAAAGTACTACTGCTGAGTTTAAGCTATATGCATTACTTTGTCTTAGATTACTCATCTGCTTAGATATAGTATTTCGATTTTAAAGGTTGTGTAAGGGGCTACGCCTAAGTACTGCAAGAAGCTACGCCGAAGAACTCTCTACTTGTCTATTGTTGTATCAGCATACAGCGTCAGGCCTGGCTGACGTTACATACTATCCTGCACCATGATCAGTACTTCGCTGATCATACGTGCCTTTTTGGTTGCATAGCGTAATAGTGCAGGGCTGCGTTCTGACACACATCAGATCTCGTCAACTCCACACCATGTGTCAAACATGTCCCCCAAATCCAACGCTTTACTACCCTCTTCCGATGTCCCTATCTCAATCAAGGTCCACATGTCAAACCCACCTTCTTCGTCTTCCTCATCACCATCCTCCATATCATCATTCCAACTACCACCACTAAACAGCACGTAAGCGTCCACTCCTCTACAACTTGCCACGCACTCATCTAGTAAATTCCAATCCGTCACCCCTTTCAGCACCATCTGTGGATCACCCAGCCCCTCATATCTCATTACAGGCGGGACGCCATTCGACAAGGTATAACTTGTTTCCAGGCCCGTAATCTTCGAGATGTACGAATGAGATTCGTTGCGTGAGACAGGCATCGGTAGATTGTGCGCGTCGAATTCCGTGAGAGAAGGGGTAAGGACATCGGGGTCTTGTTTGTTGAAGAGTTGTACGGCTAAATCGCGGGCGCGTTCGGTATGAGATTGTATGAGACCGAGAGCTGGGAGGGGAATGTATCTTGTTGTTGTCCTTTGTTTCGACACACCCCTAGTGCCATTTCCATCATCCTCTTCCTCATTCGTAACCTCTACACGACCATTGGACGGCGGCGCAACGCCTACGCTTCCATCCCCTAAGAACTGTGCCCAGGGCTTCAGCCCACTAACCCAAGGCCCCGTCTCATACTCGCCCACAGGACACCACGCCTCACCCCTGGGGTCGTAAATGACCTGATCACCCGTGGACTCCCTCCGTCCCCAGATCGTAACCTCGAATAGAGAAATCGTATCTCTAACGCTCTTCTCGAATGCCCTAGCATGGTTTGCGCCACGAACCACTCCCCCAAGAGCTCCAGCTGCCTCGACTTCTTCTAGCACCGCTTCGTAAGGAAGGTGTGATGCGTTTTCCTGCCAGATATCCAGGAGGTAAAACCATATCGACTGCATAAGCGGGGTGTCTGTGGGGTAGAAATCGGCAAAGTAGTCGAGGAGGGTCGCGGCGCAAGACCAGTACTTCGTTGTAAAGGTGAATTCGCAGGGGTGACAGGGCCAGGTGTCTGGCCTACGGCGATGCGGGCAGGTCGGATGGGAAAGAAGGGACTTGGTCTGCTTGTAAGCGGTTGGGAAGACGATGTCGTTATTACCGCAAATGTACCGGGTGGCTGTTGGGGGTAGCGTGGTGTGGTCTGTTATGAAAATGACGGGTGGTAGTGGCATTGCGACGACTTTCGGAGGGTAAAAAGTCATTCCATGTAAAACCGGTGCTATTTGATTTAATTTCAGTTTGGAGTTTGAGTAATGGTACTGAAGTGGAGTTTGAGTTGTAGTCTAGATCAATGGACTAGTGCCAAGGCTGCAGCCTTGCACAATACACTTCTTGGGAGTGGCTCACAATAAGAGTCTTGATAGTAATAGACGGGAGTCTATCCAAACACCGAGACACTGCTTTCTATACTCTTCAATACTTCTACCACTTCGACATGCGACTAAGCGTACTCATTCTCCCATGTTGCATGTTACTCAACAGCGCTTCCTCTAGGGCTGATTGGCTGATGCCCGCATCTGTCCAATGTAAGTAAACGTATTATTCTAAAGGAGGGCAAAACTTTGACTCACCATCGATATCGCTGAAGCTGCTGCCCATACTAGGTGTGCCTTCGCTGCCTTCAATCCTGGATCGAGGTCCTCCGCGCCGTGGACTGCCGAGTCGGCCTAGTGCTGCACGATGATCCGAAGCCGGACTCATAGGGCTTTTTGCTGCTGATGGAGGTCCACCAGAGCTAGTCATTGACGACGCAGTCTCGGTGGTCGCAAGTGACTGCACGTCGATAGACTTTGGTCTTGGTGCCGGAGCATTTCTCGTGCGGTCAGCCTGGAACACGTTTTGCCCGGGCTTACTACCGGTACTAAAACGCGCATCTGATGCATACTTGCTGTTGCTGGCTCGTGGTCTAGCTGCCGTCGCAAAGGGTAGACTTGTCTCATGTGAGCCCAAATCGTCAGTCTCTTGAGTTCCATCACCTTCCTCGAACGTGGAAAGTTCTCGAGGTTTCTTTTGTTGAAAACGTGGAGGGCGCTTAAATAGCTGGCTTCGATGGGCTGGATGATCAGTATCCGACAGCGATGATGAGCTCGAAGACGAGGAATCAGGGATCTCTGGAGAAGCAGCTTCGTCATTACGATAGCTGGGTGGTGCAGTTGGGGGATTTGCGCGATCATCAGACTTCCGACTGGTCAAGTTGGGGCGTCGGGTGGAGCGTGTTGACAGAGTTCGAGCTGGTGCCTGAGTATCTGCTCGAGATTGGGTTATTGTGGTCGTAGATGGCGTCCTGGAGAGGGGAGGCGCTAGACAATGTCAGAAGATGCACTTACCATAGAATCTACCTTGTTCGTTGAAGTACTCACCTGGCGTCGTTACCTCTGCACCACGTAGACTTGGACTGTCCTTCGATCGTCCAGCCAATGCAGACGTGGTTCTACCAGCTACTCTTTGTTAGCAATACCAAACAATAGTGAACACTTCTCCTACCTCCAGATCCGGCACTGCCACCCCTCCGCATCGCAACACCACCAACACCAGTCATAGTGCTTCCACCCGTCGGCGATGATGATGGAACAGCGTTCGAGATGCTGACCTTCTTCATCTGATTGCGAACATGATCGAGATGCCGCTCGTACAACCATGCTGCTTGCTGAAGAAGAAAGGTCGGAGGAACTTGAAACTTGTCGGCTCTGTTATGGTCAGCAAGGCTGATACATGGCTGGATCGCATGTACATACAGCTCGACCCCTATAACATGTCAGTACCATTGACATCGCGTTACATGGAAGAAAGCTTACAGTTCAAATCACTAGTCTTTGAGGACTTTGATATAACCTTCCACAATTGGCGGTCCCTCTCGGCATCCCATTGTGCCTGAGCAATGGTCAGATGAACGCCCAAGACGCAGACATAGGTCACTTTACCTGTGGAGGATCCTCAAAGTCACCGCGGATGAACGGTAGACGTATCAGTGCTGTGAACTGGACTGAAGACATTTAGAGATGATCTGACGTAGATACGAAGGTGTAGTTTGATGGAGAGATGGCTAACGGAGGTGTGGTGCTGCGACTAGGCTGTCGAATGAAGTAAGGCGTGAACTGATGTACGCATGTGGCTGGCCAGGCAGGAGCAGCAAGCCCTTGGATAGAGTGCGAGTCGAAGGTTACTTTATTTGACTCAGGTCTTTCCTGCGTTCATGTCATGTAACTTCGCGATCGGTACTGTGTTGTTCAGGACTACTTGTAGGCCAAGGTCGCGTGCACCCTTGACGACGCGAACTCCGCACCGCCACACTTTCCCCGTGAAAGCCACAGCGGCCCCGCTACAGGGCATAAAATACTCGACACGGGCGCATGCATAAATCTCCACCAAACACAGTCATTCCACCAACATCAACTCCAGAAAATTAACTCACTGGAACAAGATGTCGACTCAAGCAATTACCAACATTGACATTCAAGGCAAGTTGCCTAAGGTCGCCTCTGGAAAAGTGCGCGACCTGTACGCAATTGACGATGACACACTGTTGTTCGTCGCCAGCGACCGTATATCAGCATACGACGTCATCATGGAGAATGTAAGTAGCATAATCACTGAATTAGAACTCCCTTTGATAAAAATGCCAGGGTATCCCAGGAAAAGGCGCTCTTCTAACTGCCATGTCAATCTACTGGTTCCACTACCTCCCCACTAAAGTTCCCGGCCTCAAAACCCATTTCCTTTCCCAAGACCTCCCAGCCGCCATCCAGGATCAAACTTCCCTTAAGGACCGCAGCATGCAAGTTCGTCGTCTGCGCATCCTGCCCATTGAATCTATAGTCCGCGGCTACATCACCGGATCAGGCTGGTCCGAGTACACCAAGTCCGGAACCGTCAACGGAATTAGTATGCCCAAGGGATTGATTGAAGGCCAGAAGCTACCACAACCATTGTGGACACCGAGCACCAAGGCGGAAGTAGGCGGCAAAGACGAGAATATCAGCCCCGAGGAAGCTAGACGTCTGATTGGTGATGAGAAGATTGCGAAGCGCGTGGAGGAGCTTTCACTGGCTATCTACAGTGCTGCTGCGGACCGCGCAGAGGAGGTTGGTATTATTCTCGCTGACACCAAGTTCGAGTTTGGAGTTGATGAGAAGGGTGAAGTGGTGCTCGTTGATGAGGTTTTGACACCGGATAGCTCAAGGTTTTGGCCAAAGGAGTCATGGGAGAAGAATTTGGGAAAGGCGCAACCTAGCTATGATAAGCAGTTCCTCAGGGACTGGCTGACAAGTAACGGGCTGAAGGGCAAGGAGGGAGTCGCAGTGCCGGCGGAAATTGTGGAGAAGACAGCCGCGAAGTACAGGGAGGCTTGTGAGAAGCTTACAGGCAAGAGTGCGTAAGATTGTGCTGAGGATGGGAGGGTTGAAGAATACGATGCGTAAGTCGTAGCTGGTATGAAGCCTTGGTAATGCCAGACTTGAAGATAAGGCATATCCAAGTACCATCGAAGTCACTTCCAACATATGCTGCATGAAGACCAATCATCAAAGTATTTCTTCATTCAGTTAATCTATATACCTCATTCTAGCCTTCTCAACGACACATTCAGGCTAAGCACAAATCCCAGCGTATCGCGTTTCCGTTCTTAACGCCATGCTGTGTGTATCTCACAGCAATGCAAATTCCAAACAATACCCTAT